AGTCATTCCACCTCTCAAACCCTCAGTTCCCTCACCTGCAAAGTCCTACCACTACAAGGCTATTCTGAGGACAAAATACGATGACACGTGAAGAGCAGTTGGAATGGTGGCTGGCACCATGTAAGGATGTAGTAAGTGCTGACATTCATTATTATCCTGTTATCGATAGCAGATGAACTGTTCTCTCCCATGGATCACACTTCCTCCTCAAAGCATACTCCGCCAGAGCGCGGTTTCTCAGCCTCGTCACTACTGCCATTTCTTGTTGTGGGGGCCCCTCCTGTGTGTTTTTTAAAAAAATATATTTTATTTATTTTTTACAGAGAGAAAGAGAGAGGGACAGAGAGTTAGAAATATCGACAAGAGAGAATCATCGATCAGCTGCCTCTCGCACACCCCCTACTGGGGACGTGCCTGCAACCAAGGTACATGCCCTTGACCGGAATCGAACCTGGGACCTTTCAGTCTGCAGACCGACGCTCTATCCACTGACCCAAACCGGTCTCGGCCCCTCCAGTTTTATAGGACATTTAGCAGCATTCTGAGATGGTCCAATGTCTCCTATGGGGGGTGGTGATGGGGGGAGTGTAAAATTCCCTCTTCCTTCCACTGAGAACTCTAGTCTCGCACTAGCATATGCAAATCCCTTCTGGAGAGGAGCCACTCCTCCCTACCTTCCCGCCACCCTGCTCTCCCCACGAGCAGCCCCTTGGCCACCACGTCTCACCACTCAGCTGCCTCGGAGGGAACATGTGGTAGGTGCTGTAAATGTCATTGGAGAACTGCAGCTGGAGCTCAGGGCTGCCCGTCAGGAGCTGGGCCACCTGTTCCACCTGAAACGGTGTCTTCTCCAGGATCACAATGGCGTCCTCTCCGTCCCCAGAGGCCTCGTTCACCTGTGGGGAGAGACGCCCGTGAGGCCTGGAGGACAGAGGCTGAAATCCCCGGGGATCTGGGATTTCCTTCCCCGCAGTTTCTCTCTCCGCAACGGCACTGCTTCTCCTCCCAGAGGAGAAATCATTAACCTAAATCCTTCCTTCTGCCCAAACCGGTTTGGCTCAGTGGATAGAGCGTCTGCCTGCAGACTAAAGGGTCCTGGTTTCGGCTCAGGGCTAAACTCTTAAGCGGTGCTGCAGACTGAAGACAGTGGGGCGGAGAGAACCAGACAGAACCTTGTAAAAAACACAAGACACACACACACACAGAGAAGGATGGATGCCTAGGACCAGGACCCCCTGATCTTCCCGAAATGAGAGCTCCTGCAAAACCCTAATACCTGCCCTTGGCCTGGGCCTCCTCCCTAGTAACAGGCTGGCCCCCAGTCTCTCCACAGTCCTTCTAGAAAGCTGAGCAGATGTAGGCTGGGCCAGCCCTGTGAATGTGTCTCCCCCAAGGTCCTCTGCACCCCTGATGATCAGGGATGAGAACCTTCATCTCTCCATCCCCACGACCTAGGTCGGTGCTGGCCTGTCAGCGCACGGCGTGTGGAATTGAATTACCCATTTAGTAACCTGCCTCCTCTGTCAGGGCTGGAGTCCCGTACAGCAGGGATCGTATCTCCTGCAGTCAGTCTCCTGTCGATCCCAGGGGCACGGAGGAGCGAGGCGGTCCAGCCACATTTACTGGGTTCCTAGCACCTTTACAGATTGGATGAATACAGGATGAATGACTTGGAGAATGTCACACGAGATTATTCCCCTGCCATGCATCCTACAAGTGTTAGTGGTTACTTTGACAAGGGATGGATCAGAAAAATCAGCCGCACAAATATGTGATATCTTAATCAATAAAGAAATTTAAAAAAAAAATAGAAAAATCAGCCCAAACCGGTTTGGCTCAGTGGGTAGAGCGTCGGTCTGCGGACTGAAAGGTCCCAGGTTCGATTCCGGTCAAGGGCATGTACCTTGGTTGCGGGCACATCCCCGGTAGGGGGTGTGCAGGAGGCAGCTGATCGATGATTCTCTCTCATCGATATTTCTAGCTCTTTATCCCTCTCCCTTCCTCTCTGCAAAAAATCAATAAAATATATATATATATTTTTTTAAAAGAAAAATCAGCCGCATGTGTTCAATTTCTCTACCTCCACGGGTGACCGTGTCTTCTCCTCCCCTCCCCCGCCCCAAAGCAGTGCAGACCTGCGCTTTCTCCCTCACCCCCGAGTAATGCGATCGGTGCTTCCCAGCCGGAGCCCACGAGATCCGCCTCCCCGGCGGCGGTCCCCGGTCCCCACCCCGGACCCCGCCCGGGGCCGCCGACCGCACCTTGCCGTGCAGGAAGAGGATCTTGTCCCGCGCGGACTCCCGCAGCACCTTCTGCACTCTGAAGCCGGAGAAAGGAAGGTGGGCAGGGGCAGAGGTGCCATTCCCCACGCCGGCTCCCTTGGCTTCCTTGTCCTCGGTGCCGGGGGCTTCGTCCCCTGCGGCAGCTACTTCGCGCTTCCTCTTGCTCGGCGGAGGGGCCGCGTCCGCCATGTTGCCCACGGGAGAGCGAGCGCCTGCGCAGACCCTGGCGCGCCCCGCCCCGCCCACCTGCGGGGCTCGCCGCGACTACAACTCCCGGCATGCTCCGGGCGCGGAGCCCGGCGACCTGCCGGGTGACCCAAGTTCAGCCAAGGGACTGCATTGACCCCGGCAGCCAGCCCTGACACAGGCGATCTCAGTGCTGTGCTGGGGAGGGCACCCCGGCTATCCGGGCCGGACTCGGAAGGCTTTGTCACCTTGTTGGAATGCCGACGCTTTAACAAAAATTATACCAACTCTGATTAGTTACGTGGAAGCAGTCCTTCTAAAACCAATCAGTTGAGCCGATCTTATTTATTGGTCCACATTTAAATATATATACACGTGTGTGTGTGTGTGTGTGTGTGTGTGTGTGTGTATGTTTTTTCCTGACCGGTTTGGTTCAGTGGATAGAGCATTGGCCTGCGAACTGAAGGGTCCCAGATTCGATTCCAGTCAAGGGCAAGTACTTTGGTTGCAGGCACGTCCCCAGTGGGGGGTGTGCAGGAGGCAGCTGGTCGATGATTCTCTCTTATCGATGTTTCTAACTCTCTAGCCCTCTCCCTTCCCCTCTGTAAAAAAAATAAATAAATAAATAAATAAATAAATAGTTTTAAAAATATATGTTTTTATTGATTTCAGAGAGGGAGAGAGAGACACATCAATGATGAGAGAGAATCACCGATGCGCTGCCTCCTGCACGTCCCACAACTGGGGCCTGAAACGCACACCCTGACTGGGAATCCAACTGCGACCTCCTGATTCATAGTGGACACTCAATCACGGAGCCATGGCTTTGGGGCAGTGTGCATACATTTTTTTTTTTTGACACCTTATATATTGAGTTGGATAAAAGGCTAATTGTTTCCTGAAGCAGAGCACATTAGTAGGGAAACTTAGGACCTGAAGTAATTATAGTTATCTTCAACCAGAAACATTTGCTGCTTGTTCACAAGTTTCCTGGGTACACCTTCTGGGGCCATTCAGTAGCAGGTTATCAACTGTATGCTACACTGGGAAACAAAATGCCCTGAGGGTGAATGACAGTAGCAAAACCTGCTTAAAACTACAAGGCCCTGATCAGAAAATGTCTAGGTGTGCACGCTCATTCTCCCTTTTCCTTCCTCCCCCTTTCTTGCTTCCTTTCTCTTTTCTTTGTCGTTCTGTCTCCTCCCTCCACCCATGTTTTTTCGTTTCTTTTGTTCTTTTCCTTTCTCTTCTTTTTAAAAAAAAATATATATTTTATTGATTTTTTGCAGAGAGGAAGGGAGAGGGATAGAGAGTTAGAAACATCAATGAGAGAGAAACATAGATCAGCTGCCTCCTGCACACCTCCTACTGGGGATGTGCCCACAACCAAGGTACATGCCCTTGACCCGAATCAAACCTGGGACCTTTCAGTCCGTAGGCTGATGCTCTATTCACTGAGCCAGACTGGTTAGGGTACTTTTCTCTTCTTGAACCTGAAAAGAGTAGCTGTGTTTTAACAAAAAGCTCTGAATTCGGAGCCATGAAGTCTGGCTCCAACACTGACTAGCTGAGCAACTTTGGGGAAGTCACTTACCCTCTCTGGGCCTCCATTTTTATTTGCCAGACATTGTCCATCCTGAATAAGACAGGAAAGAACTCTACGTTCATAGAATTCATATTCAAATAGAGATGAGGTTAACAAATATGATCGTTTTAGGTAACGATTGTGTTATTTACAGAATAAACAGCAATGCGATAGACTGAGTACAGGGAGGACTTTAGATAAGGTGGTCACAGATGGGAGCTCTCTCAGGAGGTGACATTGAGCTAAGACTTGAATGATAAGAAGGAAACAGCCAGGAAAATGTGTTTCAGGCAGAGTTGATATCAGATGCTAAAGACCCTAAAGGAGTAATGAGCTTGACATTATTTAGAAACAGGGGTGGCCCTTAGGTTGAGCACAGGAGAGATTGAGGAGAAATTTATTCATCAAGGCAGTTATAATTCTGATTAAAATATCCATAGCCCTAACCGGTTTGGCTTAATGGATAGAGTGTCGTCGGCCTGCAGACTGAAAGGTCCCAGGTTTGATTCCGGTTGGGAGCATGTACCTTGGTTGAGGGCACATCCCCAGTAGGGGTTGTGTACGAGGCAGCTGATTGATGTCTCTCTCTCATTGATGTTTCTAACTCTCTATCCCTCTCCCTTCCTCTCTGTAAAAAAAATAAAATAAAAAAAAAATATATAATATATAATATATATATATATATATATATGATATATATATATATATAAAAGACTACATCCTAGAAAATCTTGTTCATGGAAACATGTACAAAAAATGTCCATATGCTTACTGCTTTTACTAGAATAGCAAAAAACCTAGAGACAACCCAATGTCCATTTGTGAAAGAATGCATGACTAAATAGTGGTACGTTTACATGATGGATTGAAAGTGAATTTGCTGCAGTTACATGCCTCAATGTGGCTAAATCCTACAAACATGATAAACAAAAGGAATCTGCAGAATACAAATCGTAATACTATTTATGTAAAGTATAAAACCATGTAAAAGTAAATACGTTGTCAGGGATACATACATATGAAGTAAATTTCTAGACAAAAGCTAAGAATGATAAATTCAAAATTCAGAACAGTGGTGACTTCAGGTGGGAGAAGGGAGGAAAATAATTAAGGGCCCAGAGGGAACACCGTAGGGGTTGTAACGTTTTACTTCTTCAGCGGGGTGGAAGGTACGTGAGTGTACATGACAGTATGCTTTCGCCCTTTTCTATGTAATAAAATAATTCGGTTAACAATATAACATTTTTTTTTTACAATATATACAAATATTGACTCATACAGGTGAAACTAATAATTTTATATGCCAACTATATCTCAATTACAAATATATACAATATATGCATAAATATGTTCCAGTAAAAAGGATAGGGAAGTGAGGGAGGAGGCACCATAGTACACATTGGAGGAATGAGAAATTGATTTTGGTTCAACCATCAACTTCTACTGAGAACTGATGAAGAACTGATGAGAACTGATGAAGGCACACGGCCCTTTGGCAGAAGAGAAATGCTGGTTTCTCTCGGGGCAGAGGCAAAGCATGAGCTCCAGCCGGACCCCTAATGCGGACCCACGTGTCAAAGCGTGGGCGGGCGGGCTTTTGATCCCACATCAAAGGTCCGAGTTTTCCTTCTCTTTACCCTACCTGCCCCCTGACCTCTCTAGTCTATTCAGAATGGTTTCTAGAGTGGAGTCTTTCATGACCTGCACGCAGTAAAATAAATACAGCATGGTGCTGAGTGCATGTTGCATGTAGCTTTCTGAGGTGAGTGAAGGGAAAGAGAAGGGCAGCAGTGTGAGGGTACGAGATTTGACACCCGTGACTTCCCCCTTCCATCTGTCCCAGGGTTTTCCCGGCAACAGGAAAAACCACCCATGTTGAGTCGTGCCCTCTAGGCTTCTAGCTGATTCACCAGGTGAGTCACCTGTTCGGGAGGAAGGCATCTCTGTACCAGAGCCCAATCCCAGGGGAAGAAGACATAGGGGTGTGCTTGACTCACATCCTGTGAGGAGGAGGCAAAACACGGGTGGCCATCTCAGTAGCAGCACCTCCTACCAACTCTTTCTGGCTTCACCATGGCCTTCCTGGGGAGTCCCCAGCTTGCTCACGGCCTTCCTGGGGGAGTCCCCAGCTTGCTCACGGCTTTCCTGGGGGAGTCCCCAGCTTCCCCAGTGCCTTCTTGGGGAGCCCACGATAATGGAAACCCACTGGGCAATCTGATCCCAGCATCACATACAAAGCGCTACCACCTCTGGCTCCTTGGGCCCTGTCACTCTGCGGGAACCAGGCCCCGCGCTCTCTCCCTTGGTTTCCAGCTGTGCCAGCTTCCTGCGTCCCTCGGTGATGTCAGAAGTGTCAGCTGAGGTTCTGCAGATCTGAAAGAGAGCAAACAGAATTACTGGGCTTGTCACCCTCCCCCAACACATCTCCTATAAATATTTCTTTCTTTCAGGGGCCTTTCAAAGGCGCTCCCTACAGTTTCCACCTCTTCTTTAAAGAAAAAAAAAATAACTTGTTTTTATTGTCACTTTTTTTTTTTTTTTTTTTTTTTTAAGAGAGAGGAATGTCGATGTGAGAGAGAAGCCGATTGGCCATGTGCACCCTGACCAGGACTGAACCTGCAACTTACCGTATTTTTCGGACCATAAGACGCACCGAACCATAAGACACACTAGTTTTTAGAGAAGGGAAATGAAGAAAAAAAGATTCTGAAACAAATAGTGTTCTAAAATATTTTATGTGCATTAAAACCCAACATCACAGTCATAAACACATGTAATCAACCCTGTAAAGTAAACAGCAGCATTTAGAACCATTTTAGAGCCGGGCAAGCACACAGAGACCACACAGAGCCGGGCAAGTAAAAAAACTTTTTTTTTAAAGTATATGTGTAGGCTATATTTGGACTATAAGACGCAGGGACTTTTCCCCCCCACTTCTGGGGGGAAAAAAGTGCGTCTTATGGTCCGAAAAATACGGTAGGTGTGTGCCCTGTCAGGGAATCACACCCACAACCTTTTGGTGACAGAAAAGGATTCTCATCCAACTGAGCCTCACAGGCCAGAGCTCCTGGAACTTTTTATATAGTTTCCATCCCCCTGTAAGATAATGTCCTCAACTTATCAGGGGCAATTCTTCCCCACTACTTTACACCTCCTCTTGCCTCAGTAAACCACTAGAGGCCTGATGCACGAAGATTCGTGCAAGAACGGGCCTTCCTTCTCCTGGCTGCCGGCACCATCTTCGCTCCAGCCTGCAGCCACCTTTCCGCCTTCTCACGCTGCCCACATGCCCAGAACTGCTAGTGGGGTGCAGAACGACGACAAGGCAAACATCCCGCCCTTGGCTGCTCAGCGCCTGAGTATGCAAATTAACCTGCCATCTTTGTTGGGTTAATTTGCACACTCACTCCTGATTGGCTGGCGGGCGTCACGAAGGTGCGGTCAATTTGCATATTTCTCTTTTATTAGTGTAACTGTTCCTCCAACCTGACCTGCCTGAGAGAAACTCACACTAGGAATGCTAACCATGGCTAAGACTTACTGAGGACTTGACAGGTGCCTGTTAGGAGCGCTTTCCATGTGCCAGGCCCTGCTCTGAACAAGTACACAGTGTGTATACTGATTTTGGTACATGGTATCATTCTCATATCCCAGTGAGGACACCTGGGCACAGAGGGGCTAAGTTACTGCCTGAGAAACACAATGCTCTCAGAGCCTACCTGTTGAACTTTTGGGCTGCAGGGCTGTCGCCTGAAGGCCCAAGCAGATCGATGCTGACCCCTTCCCCGCCCCCACCGCCTCCTCACAGAGCTTACAGCGCAGGATGGCCTCCTTGACTTGGCGGAAGCCTTGGTCGGGCCCCCGGCCGTCCACGAAGTACATGAAGCGGAGCTCGGCCGGGTAGGCGGTCCTGGCCAGGCCGGCGGCGAGCAGGGGGATGGTGCGGCCCTCGGACCCCGGGGCATGGCTCAGGGCCTGCAGCATCTGGTACCTGCACCACGGGTCCCGCAGGAAGCCGGGGGTGATGAGCAGCACGCGGCAGTGGCTGCCGTCCAGAGCCCGGCACAGCTCGGACACGATGGCGCCGCCCGGGGCGGAGTCCCGCAGCTGCAGGAAGCAGCGCAGGCTGGCAGGGCTGTCCTCCAGGTAGGCCACCAACTCCTGCGCGGCCGCCAGGTCCTCCTCGCTGTGGCACACGCACACGTCGTAGTCCCTGCTCCAGCGGCCGCTGCTGCTGCTGCCGGAGGCGCCCTCCTGCGCAGGTGGCGGGGTGGCAGGAGACTCAGCCGATGCAGCGGTGCTGAGGCCCGGGGATGGGGGGTCATCTGAGCTCCGGGGTGGAGCATCACTGGGAGTGGTTTCCTGGGACACAGGCATCTCCTTGGGCTTCTTCGACAGCACCTGCCTGAGCCAGCCTGCGGGAGGAACTCTGCTCAGAACTGATTCTCACCAGGCACCCTCCTCCCAGCCACAGAGGGGAGATCAGGCCAGGAATCCCGCCAGCCTTCCTTCACCTGGCCACCTTCCCGCACTGGCCAATACCGCCCGACTCTCAGACTACTGCCCGCTAGGACCTGCCCGAAGTTTCCACTGTCTTACAAGTTTTCTACCCGGCTGGTGTGGCTCGGTGGTTGAGCATGGACCTATGAACCAGGAGGTCCCGCCTTGATTCCCTATCAGGGCTCATGCCCACTGTGCAGGAGGCAGCTGATTAATGATTCTTTCTCATCATTGGTGTTTCTATCCACCCCTATCTCTCTCTTCCTCTCTGAAATCAATAAAAAGATACTTTTTAGGAACTCTGTTTTATAAGTCCTGAGGTGTAATGTGCAGCAAGTGACTATAGTTAATAATATTGCATTGCAGATTAGATTTTAAAAGTTCTCTACGCAAAAAAACAAACAAACAAAAACACCACACAAGATGGCGGTGTAAGGTATACACCTGTACGTGCTACCTTTCACAACCAAAACTACAACTAAAAGAAAAATGTCTAAAACCCAGAACCGCGGGAAAGCTGGGGGAGTAGAAGTTCTACAACTAGAAGGAAAGAGAAAAGAACATTGAGACCGGGTAGGACGTGCACAAACGTGGAAAAGCAGAGGTACGGAGGTGTGCGAATCGGGCTGGCGGCTAGCAACTTGGTGCATGGTTGTTGTTTTTTCAATCCAAAGGGAGACACTAGCTCCCAACTGCTCTGAACTCCAGTTTCGGTGAGACTCTGGGGACCTAGACTCCGACGGGGAGAAGGTGGACTGTCTGCCATCAGGTCGGAAAGTGAGGGTGGCTTTCTTGCAGAGGTGCACGCAGGAATCATTGTTTACTGTGCTGGGGCGCAGGACTCAGGGACATAGAGACTCAGAGACAGCTGACTGGCAGCCATCACTGTTTGCCATGCCCTAGCGATTCCCTGAGACCCCACCCCGCCCAATTTACAAACCCACCCAAGTTCTGCGCAGCTGCCTTTGCATACGAATGGCTTGCCCTATCACAGCTTAACCTAACAAACTGCAGCTTGGGTCAGACAGCTCCAAAACTTCCAAACCTCAAGCAAAGAGGAGAAATCTGCAGATCTCGCCATAGCTCCTGCTGGGTGGTCTCAGACAGTAGCTGACCTGCACCCCAATGGAGACCAGGAGCCAGTGTACCTAGTGGTCAGTATGAGATGACACCAGATTTCAACTCCTCACATCCATAAGTGACACATTCAAGAGGCAGACTCAATGAGCATCAAAGCCCCACTGAAACAAGTCCTGCCCCATAAGGGTGTCTCCAGCACAGCAGTTCTTCCATTATAGACACAGCGAGTCCCTACAGCCAATTGGCCTAAAGGTCCCCATGATGCACTCCTCCTCTCCTCAGACAACAAAACCAAGGTGGGAGCCCCCGTCGCCAGCCTCCCTGCACCTCTCCGCTGGGCTGGGCCAGGCGGGTCCCTACCTCACCACTAGGGATACTGAGAACCACTCACAGGCACGAGAACAGCATTAGGAGTCTGCTTTCACTCACCAGCCATCTTGCCCAAAGGCTTCTTAGACCTGGAGCCAGAAGCTGGGAAGGGGGTGGATGAGGCCATAGTGTTAGGCTCAAAACTAACCCCATGAGACCAGGCATTGGTAAAGTGGGAGAAGGGAGGAGACCCAGTCTGGACCTCATGAGACAGCCATCCTGCAAGAGACAGAGAGAGAGGGTCACTTACCTTCCTCTCAGCCCCAGTGGGTGGGCTCTGATGGTCTTTCTCTCCTGATGCCTGATGGAGTTTCAATCTCCAGACGATCCCTCCACCCACATGGGAGAGATGCCACTGTGATTGGGGCTCATTAGATAAACCCAAGTCTGTGTGGTGCGTTGAGACTCACAGATGGGTTCGGCATGACCAGCAGGGACAGCTCTCTGTTCCACCCGGCCTGGAGTGCATCCGGCAGCTGGGGAAGGACAGCTGGAAGGTAGTTTTTTGTAGGGATTTCCGGTGTAAAGGCTGAAATGGGAGAAGCACAATTGCTATTTGGACAAATTATTTTGTACCCAGGTAGGCAGATGCTGGGCAGAAGGGAGGAAACACATGCAGATGTGTACCTGTCTGTGTCCTTTCTGTCTGGGTTAGCAACATCTGCTTTTCTCTTTCAAGTATGTCTCTGATTCCTGCACCCATGCCCACTTTTCTTTCTTGCTGCTGCAGTTCAAGTTCTTTTTTTTGAGCATTGATATATTTTCATGCATCAACAGTCCCTGTTATCTTACAGTCATCCGCTTCACGTAAGGGTGTTTAGCATTTAACAATGGACAAAGCATTACTGTCCAATGTAGAATGACCACATGTAGTGGTCCAACCTGTTATAGAATGGCATTTTGAAACCTCTTATGTTAGTGTGTCTTATCCAGGTTGTTCTATGTAAGGTCCCAGAGAGTTCGTTTTTGACCTTTGCAGATTCAGCAAAGAGGGAGGTGAGGAAGCAGCCCTCTTCCTGTTGCTCTATAGCTGTAGGGCCAAGCTCTCCACCAGCCCTCCATCTCTGGCTCCGGCTGGGACCCAGGCAGGCTCTGCCCCAGAAACCTAGGCTGAGAAAACCTCTGCCATCAGGGACATCCTAGGCATTGCGGTGGGGAGAGAACGTGGCAAGTCACCCATCTAAGGTATTCTTGGTCCTTTGCATTTCCATGTAAATTTAGAAGCAGTTTGACAATCCTTCCGCCACCCCACCCCTAAAACAACAACCCTTCTGGAATGAGGGACAGCACTGATCTAAATATTAGTTTGATAAAAACTGATGATACTATTGAGTCTTCTAAACCATGAACATAGTATATCTCTCCAGTATTTAGGTGATTTTAAATACATACTATCCCACTGTTTTCTGAGCACCATGTGTCGTATACCATTGTCCTTTACATAAATTATCTCATAAACTTCACAACAACGCTGAGAAGCAGGTTCTGGTATAATGGCCAAAGGCCACAGTGAATAAAAGGTGAGGATCTAGCACTGGGCCTGCACACACTGCTGTCTTCTCCACTATGTGGCCTTGCTTCCCTGAGCTGACAGCTGAGGGAGGGAGGAGGGGATGGTGAGAAGGAAGGGGAGAGGGCGTGGTGGTGGGTGGATGGAAGAAGTTATTCAAGGGAAGGCCCACTTAGAGGAAAAGTTTCTCAAGGCTTCTTCTTCTTCTTCTTTTTTTTTTTTTAATGTATTTTATTGTATATTATTTTATTGTATATTTCAAAACCTGCCAGTGGGTTTCAGCCTAGTGCTGGGCTGATGCCTGATAACCTCTGGCAGGTTTTGAAATCCTTTTCCTGCTTAGGGGTTACTGTCTGTCGACATCTTCAGTTCAGCCAGCCAGTATATCCTTTTTCCCCCAGTACTCAACTATTGTCACTTGGTTTTATAGTATTCCAGTATTTTTTGTTGGAATTTATTTTATTTTAAAAATATATATATTTTATTGATTTTTTTACAGAAAGGAAGGGAGAGGGATAGAGAGTTAGAAACATCAATGGGAGAGAAACATGGATTAGCTGCCTCCTGCACACCTCCTACTGGGAATGTGCCCGCAACCAAGGTTCGTGCCCTTGACTGGAATCAAATCTGGGACCCTTCAGTCCGCAGGCCGATGCTCTAGCCACTGAGCCACACCGGTCAGGGCTTTTGTTGGAATTTAAAATGTGTTATTTGGCCATCGTATACTTAAACTGGAGAATTATTTGGTATTTTAATGATAGCCTAAAGATTGAAAATTAGTCTAGTACGATAATCTACTCAATAGATGTAGATTTAAAAGTTTCAGTCATATTTTATAAAATGACTTGCCCTCTGGCTATATGTGCTGATTTGGGGTAATTGCCTCTGTTCATTGCTTTTAAGAAAAAATCCAGTTGCCCAATAGCATAGGCCACTGGAAGTGGGTTGGTAGAAGCCCTGGTGACTAACATTATGGAAAAGTTTAAACACAGGAAATAACACCATCTTTGACAGAGGATAATTGGGCAAGACAGCAGGTTAACTTCCATAAGCCACACACACTGGCTGCTTCCTGGAGCCTAAAACCCCCGCTACACCTTCCTTGTTACTTTTCAGTTCTTACGCAGCTGAGGCTGGGAAGCTATTTATTACCCTCAAATATGCTTTAATCTTTACAAGATTTAGCAATAGTCACATATTGAGGTTTAGGAGACAGTTTCCAAGCAGAGAAGAAGATATTTTATGCACCCAACATAGGAGCATCTAAAATATGTACACAGATAATAATTTAATTAAAAAAAAATTTAAAATAAATAAATAAATAAAGCAAATCTAGATAGACATGAAGGGAGAGATAGACAGCAATAGAGTCATAATAGGGGATTTCAACATCGCATTGACATCAATGAATAGATCTTTCAGACAGAAAATCAACAAGGAAACCAAGACCTTAAATGACACATTACCCCAGATGAGTTTAATTGATATTTTCAGAACATTTCACCCCAAAAAAGCAGAATATACATTCTTTTCAAGTGCACAGGGAACAGACCAGATGGTAGGACACAAAACAAGTTTCAATAAATCTAAAAAGACTGAAACCATACCTGGCATCTTCTCCTGCAAGAATAGTATGAAACTACAAATTAATTACAAGAAAAAAACCTGAAAGACAGAAACAAACTGAGGCTAAATAATATGCTATAAAACAATGAATTGGTTAATAACAAGATCAAGAAAGAAATCAAGCCAAAACCGGTTTGGCTCAATGGATAGAGCGTTGGCTTGGGGACTGAAAGGTCCCGGGTTCGATTCCGGTCAAGGGCATGTACCTTGGCTGCGGGCATATCCCCAGTAGGGGGTGTGCAAGAGGCAGCTGATCAATGACTCTCTCTCATCGATGTTTCTAACTCTCTATCTCTCTCCCTTCCTCTCTGTACAAAATCAATAAAATATATTTTTTTTTAAAAAGAGAAAGAAATCAAAAGATACATTGAGACAAATGAAAATGATAACACAACAACCCAAAATCTATGGGATACAGCAAAAGCAGTCCTGAGAGGTAAATTCATAGCAATACAGGTCTACTTCAAGAAACAAGAAAATTTTCATATGCAATGGGGGAAAACTAAAAGCATTTCACTTAAGATTAGGAAGTACACAGGGATGTCCACTTTTACCACTCTTACTCAACACAGTACTGGAAATCCTAGCCATAGCAATGCGATAAGAAAAAGAAATAAAACATATCCAAATTGGAAAAGAAGTGAAACTGCCTTTATTTGCAGATGACATGATACTATAATATATGTGGAGAGAACTCTTAAGATGTGACACAAAACAAAAAACCTACTAGAATTAATAAACTGATTTAGTGGAGTAGCAGAATTTGGTTGCATTTTTATACACCAATAATGAACTAACAGAAAGAGGAACTAAGAAACATTCCCATAAAAAATGAAATAAAGCCAAAACCGGTTTGGCTCAGTGGATAGAGCGTTGGCCTGCGGACTGAGGGGTCCCAGGTTCGATTCCAGTCAAGGGCAAGTATCTTGGTTGTGGGCACATCCCCAGTGGAAGGTGTGCAGGAGGCAGCTGATCGGTGATTCTCTTTCATCGATGTTTCTAACTCTCTGTCCCTCTCTCTTCCTCTCTGTAAAAAACCAATAAAATATATATTTTTAAAAATGAAATAAAATAAAATATCTAGGAATAAATTTAACCAGGGCAGTAAAAAAAACCTCTACTGAAAAAAAATTATAAATCACTGAAGAAAGAAATTGAAGATGATACAAATAAATGGAAGCATATACCATGTTCATGAATAGGGAGAATTAACATAATCAAAATGTCCATACTACCCAAAGCAATCAATAGACTCAATGCAACTCCAATGAGAATACCAATAGTATTTCTCACAGAACTAGAACAAATAATCCAACAATTTATATTGAACCGAAAAAGACTCCAAATAGCCAGAGCAATCTTGAGAAAGAAGAACAAAGTTGGTTCTGCTATCTAATATTAAACTATACTTCAATAAAAACAGCATAGTACTGGCATAAACACAGACACATAGATCAGTGGAACAGAACAGAGAGCCCATAAATAGAGCCATGCCTATATGGTCAATTAATATATGACAACAGAGGCAAGAATATACAGTGGGGTAAAGACAGTCTATTCAATAAATGGTGCTGAGAAAATTGGACAGATACATTTAAAAAATAAAACTAAACCACATTCTTACACCAGACACAAGAATAAACTCAAGATGAATTAAAGACTTATATGTAAGATTTGAAAACATAAAACTCCCAGAGGAAAACACAGGCAGTAAAAATCTATGACATTTTTCTTAGCAATATTTTTTCTGACACACCCTTTCTGTATCCATGTTGTGAAATGATTGTCACAGTAAGTTTATTTATGTCGCCATACATAGTTACAGTTTTGCTTTCTTGTGATTAGAACTTTGAAGGTCTATTCTCTTAGCAACTTTCAAATACGTAATACAGTATTGTTAACTATATTGTACATTATATCCTCAAGCTATACATTATAGCCTCATGATTTATTTAATTGCCAAAACCGGTTTGGCTCAGGGGATAGAGCGTCGGCCTGTTCAAATACATAATACAGTATTGTTAACTATATTGTACATTATATCCTCAAGCTATACATTATAGCCTCATGATTTATTTAATTGCCAAAATCGGTTTGGCTCAGTGGATAGAGCGTCGGCCTGTGAACTCAAGGGTCTCAGGTTCGATTTATTTAGTTTATAACTAGACGTTTGTACCTTTTAACCCCTTTCACCTATTTCATGCTCCGCCCCTACCTCAGAAACAAAATATCTTTTCAAATTGAACTTAAATAGTACAACCATAGAGAAAAACAACAAATTGGACAACATTAAAATGAAAACTTCTGTTCATCAAGAGACATTATTATGAGAGTGAAAAGGCAATCGTTTGGGAGGAAAAAAAATATTTTAAAATTACATAGCCAATAAATATCTGACATTCAGAATATTTAAGAACTCTTACAAACTAGTAAGAGAAAGAGAGCAAATCTATTAGAAAAATGGGTGGAAGAACTGAACAGACACTTCACAAAAAGCAACTCCAAGTGGCCAAGAGACATGAAAATAGACACAAGGCAGTAGTCACCAGTGAAATGCAAATTCAAACATTAATGCAGCCTAGCAGGTGTAGCTCAGTGGTTGAGCCTCAACCTAGGAACCAAGCCACAGTTCCATTCCCAGTCAGAGTGCATGCCAGGATTGTGGGCTCTACTCCCAGTATGGGGTGTGCCGGAGGCAGCTGATCAAAGATCCCCTCTCATTGTTTCTATCTCTCCCTCCCTCTTTGAAATCCATACAAATATATTAAGAAAACTAAAACACCCTCGAAGCAATCCCACTAATGGCTTCTATGAAAGAGAGACAGTGTCAAGAATCGGTAGGGATGAGGAGGAAGAGGAAGAGGAACTCACATACTGCAGGGAGACATGTAAATTAGAGGGAGCAATCTGCAGAACTGTTTGGCACCATATAGAAAGCTGACACCGTACACACCCCAGCACTTTCACTCTAGGAACAAGCCCGGCATAAGTGCTTACACGGAAAAAATTCTTCCCAGCCCTATTTAAAATAACCCCAACCGGGAGGGGAAGGGAGTGGGGGGAGGAGGGGGAAGTAGGGGAAATGACCCATGTCCATCAGTCCAAGTGCCCAGTTATAGAAATAAACTGTGGTCTCTCAGCATTACACACCAGTGAGAACCAACGGGTTACCGCCCCGGGGAACGTGGGTGGATCTCACGTGCCACACACACAAAAAGGGCAGGACATGGGATTCCAGCTATCAAAAGTTCAAAAGAAGTGAAACTACTTTGTGGGGTTGGCAGGCAGGTCAGGGGAGATGCCAGGCGGAAGTTGCCATTGGAGGCAGGTGAGAGAGGCCTCTGGAGAGAGAGAGCACTCTTTCGGATTCTGGATGCAAGCTGCACAGGAAAAGCCCAGTGTGGAAACTGGGTTAAGACACACGCTTACGATCTGTGCACTTTTTCAAAAGCTTAAACAAATAACTAGAAGTGGCTTCCTGTGCCGGTGGGTTACCCCTGGGTGAGCTGCAGAAGGTGCCCTCTCTGAGGGTGGGCTTTGATTTCTCATTTCCAGGAGGAGGATGGCCTCTGTCCAGGTCAGTGGTGTCACTAGCACTCCCCCGGGTGCTCAGCCCACGGTAGATGCTGTTTTGATGACTCTAGAAGGAAAGCCACGTTCCCGTCGAAAGGCGGCCAGAAAGGCCCAGGGAGAGAGAGGGAGAGGCTGTGGGGTCAGAGGGAGAAACAACCGCCCAGCGGCCCAGCCGGCCCGCCGCCCCGGCTCCAGCAGGGCGGGCTCCCTGCACCAGCCTCTCCGCGGCGGGCCGGTGGGTGGCAGCTGCCTCGGAGGCCCCTTTCTTCCCTCCTCCGCTCTGCCCGGGGTGCCCGAGGCAGCAAGTGGAGGGGCAGCAGGGAAGGAGGCGCGGGTTCGGAAGGTGAGCCCAGCCCAGGGCTGGGGCGAGCGCGGGGCAGAGAGGGCGGGGCGCGGGTCCCGCCCCCTCCATGGCCGCCTCCCTCCCTCCCTGCACCCCGCCCGGCTCCGGCTGCCTCCCCACCGTCCCCGTACCTGATCCGGGGGGCGCTCACCTACGCGGGGCCGGGGCCGGGGCCGGGCTGCGGTGCAGGCGGTGCAGGGTGAGCTCCGGCACCCGCTCGCCCGGCCGCCTCTGCGCGAGGGGAAGTGAGGCGCGGCCAGGGCACTGCCCCGCCCCCGGAAGTGCCGGCTGCGCCCGGCCCGGGGCCCAGCGGCGCGGGGCACCCACGGGGTTACCAGTTGGGCAGAAGCTAGCCGATGAGCCCTTGGCTTGGCCCACCAGGAAGACCCGCAGCCCCGGGGCGGAGAGGCCCTCGGCGCCCAGCTCTGCCCGCAGCCCTGCAGCTGGCCTGGGGCATCTTGGTAGCTTATGCGGGGAAACCCATCTTCACCCTCCCCTCCCGCCTCCCTCTCCAAATCCCTGCGGCTCAGCCCGGGCATTAGACTGAAGATCCCCTGAGGCCAGGGCCCATCTTCTGGCTCCAAACAGAGCCCAGAAGCACCGAGGTGAACACCGAGCGCCAAGTACTGCTCCGGCATCTCCATAGCTCGGTGCTGCGCCGAGGGGAAGGCTTAGTCCCTGTCCTTCGCACAGTTTGCTAGCGACACGGATGCAGTGATGAGCACAGTCCTCTCCCAGCCGCCCCAATACAGCCCTAAGGGGAACAGAGGGTCCTCCAAGGCCTTGATAAGCTCCTTTGTCTTCTCCATGGAAGTGGAGTAGAGCTCCGCCTTTTCTTCTGACCCATAGACGGGGTGTCTGTCCTGAGGGCGAGTGCCTACTGGGCACCCAAGGACCCTACCTCACGGGGTTAATGAATAGGGGTGTCAGGTTTGACCTGATGGCCCCTATCCCCAGGCCCCTGGCAAGTTTCTCCTAGGCTCCATGCCCCTGGCAATTTCCTTCTTGTCCTTCCCCTTCCTGGCTCTTCACCCCGCACCCCCAGGGGCTTCGAACCTTACTCACTGGCAGCACATCTGCCCGCCCCTCCCTCCCTCCCCCAGATGACCCGTGAGACCCACCGCCATCCTTTGCTTCCTTCTTCTCTCCAAAGGACACTGGGGGGTAGGGCATTGTACTGGCTGTCACCATCCCACTCACTTCTCCCTTCTGCACACGGCCCACACCTCAGACCCCGACGTGCACTTCCTCCAGAAACGGCCTTCCGAGGTCCCCCTGACCTACTTGGGCTGCATCCAGCCCCATGTGCATTTATATCATTGACCGTCCCACCTCTGCCGGACCCCTCACCCTCCTGGCTTTTCTTCTTTGGTTCACCCTGTGGTCCCCTATTCCCCTCACGTCCTGTGCTGATACCATCCTCTCCCACGGAGTCCACTCCGCTGCCTCAGCCCAGGCCATCCGAGGCCACAATAAATTCAACCCTGAAGAGACATCTCTGCAGGCGTCCTACAGGCACTCCTGGCTCAGCATGCCCCACACCTCTGCCCCTGGCACCTCTTCCCTGGCCCCCCTCATCTCCATGAACGGCCTGACAGCCGCCCAGCTGTCTGGGGCAGAGAAGGGAGTCTTACTTGACCCAATTTCCTGTTGCTAAGGTAGCTTCGTGGATGGACCTCAGCTGCTCCCGGGGTGTGCGCTGTCGGAGCAGCCTCTTGCTTTGACATCAGGGTGGGCAGGATGACTTTTCTAAAAGGAAAATCAGATCACGTGCCTTCCCTATAAAAACCCTCCAGGGGCCCCTGCCCACGGAATGACAGAGCTCCACAGCACGGCTCCTCAGCCCAGGGCCCAGATGTACCTCTTCTCTCATCCCAGGATCCTGTTAGGACAAATCTCGATCCAGCCAGCCCCTGGAAGCTTGCTAATTCTTGGTCCCAGGCCTCTGTGTATGGTTTTCCATCCGCCTGGAATCACCCCCCTTCCCACTCGCCTCCCCACTCCTCATGCAATCACCATGTGAAGCTGCTCATCGTTAGGTTTGCCTGCTGAGGCATCTAGAATAGACCCAGCCAACAGTTGAAGCTGAGTAATGAACACATCCCTTCCCTCTACAACCACAGCCCTGCAGGAAGGTGGGGAAAGGAGGCACTGGCTTGCCAATGAGGATTTACAATAGAACGCTCCTGAGGCCCTAGCTGGGTTGGCTCAGTGGCTAGAGCGTCAGCCTTTGAATTGAAACATTCTGGGTTTGATTCCCGTCAACGACTCATACCTGGATTGTAGGCTCCTCCCCCGACTCCCCCACAGGGCCCTATTTTGGGTGTGTGCTGGAGGCAACCAATTGATGTGTTTCTCTCACACATTTCTGTCTTTCTCTCTCTTCCATTATCTCTAAAAAGCAATGGGAAAGTATCCTCGGGTGAGGATTAAAAAAAAATGCTCCAGGGAGGCCAGGAGGCTGTGCTTCTCCCAACCTGTGGTCAAAGGCTGGCAGGCACTTCAAAGGCACCTGCCATGAGGTGGAGAGGAAGGGACAGAAAACTGACAGGAAGGAGTCCATCACATTTATTGATTGATAATAAATTGAGGCCGGCTGCTCCGGAATGCTCCCTGCCTGGGCTCTGTGAAGAGGAGCAGCGGTGATCATTCTGGTCGGTGCCAGGCCTGGGCCTGGGGCTCAGGACCACGGAGGCGTCCTGTCCAGCTGGGACCGCCTTAGTGGGCAGCAGCAGCCTGGGCAGGGGTCAGCCCCAGGGCCCTGCTCCCTCATTCTGCCAGCCTGGGCCTCAGGCGCAGAGCCTCAGAGCCTGCAGCCTGCCCACCTGCCCAGCCACACGGGTCCAGAACCACCTGGATGAGGAGAGGACGGAGGAGCTCTGGGCATGATGCTGGGGAGGAGGACGTGAACACGGGCCAGGATGTGACCAGGGGCGACAGATGGCGACGTGGGGTCCGCGGAGAGCTTACAGGCTCAGATGATGTTGCGCTCTTCCACCTTCTCCCCCAGGTAAAAGCGGCTGAAGAGGAAGGAGCTCAGGTCGATAGTCCGGAACTGGCCCTCCAGCACCATCTCGGCCACGGCTCGGCCCACGGCGGGGGCCTGCTGGAGCCCGTGGCCGCTGAAGCCCGTGGCAAAGTACATGTTGGAGACCAGGGGGTGGGGGCCCACCACGCCGTTCTGGTCAAAGGTGTTGTAGTCGTAGTAGCCGGCCCAAGCGCTCCGAACCTGCAGGCGCACGAGATGCTGCGGTTCTCGGGAAGGCTGCCCGGGCAGCCACCCCCCTCCTGGTCACGCATCAGCACCCTCTACCGCGGCTGAAGGGGTTGACGGCATGGGTGCTTAGACCACAGAGTCCTGAGCAGTTGGGAGGTAGATAGATGGGCCCGAGATGCTCCAACGTCATGTCTCCTAGTTACCTTCAGACACTGGAAAGCTGGTACCCTGTGGGCCAAAGGGGGCCACACCTTGTCCTGGAAGAAATCATGGTCCACTTCCAGGTTCCCCGGGTCCGGTTCCTCCTCCTGGGGTGAGAGGTGGGGACACAAGGACAGAGCCAGAGATCACTGGCCTCTTTTTTTTTTTTTTTTTTAAATATATTTTATTGAGTTTTTACAGAGAGGAAGAGAGAGGGATAGAAAGCTAGAAACATCGATGAGAGAGAAGCATCCATCAGCTGCCTCCTGCATACTCCCCAATGCGGATGTGCCTGCAACCAAGGTACACGCCCTTGACCGCAATCGAACCCGGGACCTTTTAGTCCGCAGGCTAACGCTCTATCCACTGCGCCAAACCGGTTTCGGCATCACTGGCCTCTTTAATCAACCCCCTAGGTGCGTGGGGGATGGGGACCAGAGATCCCAATCAAGACCCGAAAGCGCGGCCACATCAGTACCAGCACTGGCCCTCCCTAGAGCCTGTCTCCTTAATGACAACCGGGCTGTCCCTTCCCAGGCACTGACCCCCCTTAGCTTACCTCGGTGGGGCTGCAGCCACCCAAGTAGTTGTGGCCTAATCCCTCCCGGCGGAAGTAGGCTCCACTGGTGTCTGCCACAAACGGGGTCTCCAGGCCTGGGCCCTCGGGGCAATGCCATAAGTACACGTACCTGCAGTCACCAGGTGGGTTAGGAAGTGGCGGGAACAGCAACTCTTCCCTCCTCTAACTAAACAACTGTTTTGTTTTGTTTTTCTTTTTTAAAATATATTTTTATTGATTTCAGAGAAGGGAGGGAGAAGGTAAGAGATGGGAACATTGATGATGAGAGAGAATCACGGACGAGCTGCCTCCTGCATGCCCCATGCTTGGGATCGAACCCGAAACCGGGGCATGTCTCTAACCAGGAATCGAACCGTGACATCCTGGTTCATAGGTTGACGCTCAACCACTGAACCACGCCGGCTGGGTTTAACAACCTTTTTAATTTTATTTTTATTATTATTATTTTTTAATATATTTTATTGATTTTTCGCAGAGAGGAAGAGAGAGGGATAGAGAGTTAGAAACATCGATGAGAGAGAAACATCGATCAGCTGCCTCTTGCACATCCCTCACTGGGGTCGTGCCCGCAACCAAGGTACATGCCTTTGACCGGAATTGAACCTGGGACCTTTCAGTCTGCAGGCTGACGCTCTATCCACTGAAACCAAACTGGTTTTGGCAACAACCTTTTATACTGTGCCTTTCCTCCTCGGCTGCCCTAAGGGACGTCACCTTTTCCTCGGCTCCACAGGTAGCTTGGTGCCCTCGAGGGTGTCTGGTGGCCCCTTCCCAATCCCAGCCAGCTCTGCTACTTGCCCGGACCAGGCCCCTGCGGCATTGATCACGATGGCACATTCCACAGGCTGGTACTCCAGGCTGTGGTCCATCTTCACCTGCAGGCACAGAGGGGGAGGGAGGCAGGGCTGGCCACCAGGAGGGGAACATCTCTTCCTGGAAGTGGGTTGACATTCCAAGCGACAATAGTCACCTTTCTCCCCTCTCCCCCCACTCCGGTGAGGAAGGTACGCATGCAGGCTGGGAACGTACATGGACTTCATGGATCCTTTTCATAGTCACCCCTTTCCCACTCGTGGTCTGCATGTGGCTAGATGAAGTGATGAAACCTGCAGGAAAGAGAAAATTAAGGAAGCCCTCGAGGCCTTGGAGAGGAAGGAGATGGGGTCCCGGTTTCCCAGGGAAAGGAACTGGGAGGCTGGGCGCCTTCCCAGACCCTGCAGCAAACAGGGTAACGGGGATAAACTTGGCCGCACTCAGGGCAGGAGAGCACCGAAACCTTCTAGCCAATCACGAGTCAGAAGCAGCCTCATCAGCAGCTGGAGTCAGGATGCCCAGGACCAGCCCTCAGGGGAGAAGCCCCTCCCCCCACCAAGCCGTGCTCAGCCTGGAGCGAGGATAAGACATAGTCTGGGCCTGCGCCCTGGGTGGCAAAGGGTATGAGCGGTGGGCAAACAGGGCAGACTCACGTGTCACCTCTCCCTGGGAGAAAAGGACCCCGAGGGACTGGACCTTTCGCCGGAGCCCCTGGAGCAGACACCAGGGGTCAAACCAGCCTTCACCCTCCAACCCTGTGAGGGAAAAAGAGGACTAAGAAGAGGGCCGAGCTGGGACTGGTTTGGCTCAGTGCATTGAGCATCGGCCTACGGACTGAAAGGTCCCGAGTTCGATTCCGGTCAAGGGCATGTACCTTGGTTGCGGGCACAGCACATCCCCAGTGGGGGGTGTACAAGAGGCAGCTGGTCGATGTTTCTCTCTCATCGACATTTCTAACTCTCTGTCCCTCTCAATTCCTCTCTGTGTAAAATCAATAAAATATATATATATTAAAAAAAAAAAAAAGAAGAAGAGGGCCGAGAGCCCCCCTCTCCTATTGTTTCCCGCACCCAAAACTCTACTTCGGGCTCGTAAACTGGGGAAAGTCAAGTTGACGGACTGCACCGAGTCAAATCCTGCGGAAGAACAGAGCAGGCATGGCCTTGGAAAAATCCTGCTGGCCAGAAGGAGGCGTTGCTCAGTGACGTGGCTTCCCACCCGGGGTGCCCGCAGCCTGATGCCCCCTGCGAGCAAACCTCACCGTAAGACGCCAAGGCCACGCCGTCTGTGTTGATCCAGGGAAACTTGTTCCGCAGCTGCTCCGGAGACATCAGACACACTTTGGCTCCTTCCTGCCTGAGAGAAACACGTATGTCTGTGTGTGTGCGTTAGTTAGGATGAGCGTGCGGAGAGGGAGCAGTACGGACCCAACTCCACAAGTCGGGATTCTACCTCATGTATGCCCCTTCTCTGTCCTAAGCTCCCCAAGTTTCTCTCCTTGTTGAACGGATGAGGGACAAGCCTCCCAGGTCTTCAGCATCTGACCTTCCTCCTTTCCTGCATCCCAGTGTCTGTTGGCTGTACAGCCTAGATCCCTTGTCACCCCCTAACTAGTCCATGTCCTTTCACAACCAGGACAGCCTCTTGCCAGCCTCCTGGGACAATTGCACCCACTGGCTCAGCCCCCTCCTCGGGAACTGTGTTGCCCAAAGGCTACAAGGCGGTGCTCCAAGAACACACGCCTAAGCCAGAATGCCTGGTTTCACTCCCAGCCACCGCTTACTAGCGCCTCGTGCCTCGACTTCCCCACACGTAAAATGGGGGACATTCTGATGACTAAATGAGTTAGGACATTACCTGATGTCATGCGTGAGACGTGCTTGTTGGAGATGCCTGATCTTGACTGACCGTGGTTATCTCTGAGGGCAGAGCTGCCATCTCCGGCCCGTAGCCTATTTCTGTACATGAGCCATACTCATGCATTTATCTTAATTTTTTTTTTTAGCGCTGCTTTTGTGCTTTGATTGCAAATTGAGTGATTGTAACACAGATTGTACGGCCCGCAAAGCCTAAAAGACTTATTATCTGGCTCTTACAGGGATTCCTGAACCCCTTCTTAAAGAATCTGATTTATCAGGTCGGGGGCATGTCCTTGGTGGTTCTTATCCGGCAATGCAGGACTCACCAGCAGCCCTTAGTCTGTATCACAGCCCTGGCACAGGGCCTGGAAGTTCTGCATGTGCCTGCCTTTCCCGACTGAGTTCCGAAGGGGCGGGCACCTGTCTCCTCAGCTCTGTCCTCCCAGCCCCGGACGTAGCTTAGGGCTTCCTGCCTGCATGTGGCCGGGAGGCGATTCCGAGGTCCAGCCAGGCACCCACCTCTGCACTTTCACGTTGTTCTCCATGATTGCAGCACCCTTTTCCGAGGCCAGGAAAAGGTAGCCTGAGGGGTTGAACTGGACGTCCAGGGGAGGGTCATTGACGACCGCCAGGTACTCCTATGGGCAAAGAAAGCTCCTCAGAGACGCTGACTTAGAGAAGGGATGGAGAGCGCTCCTGGCCTCCTCACTCACAACCTCAGGACTCAGGGCCCTCACCCCGATCCCGATCTAAGCCTCCTCTGGGAACCACACTGGGAGGAAAACCAAGGCTCCGGTTCCTACTTGCCCGAAGGCTCCTGCTTCTTGCTTTCCCTCCTCTCTCTGGGCTGAGGGAGGGGACACCACCCCAACCCCATCTGGTTGCACGTACATTGATGTTCCGTAGGAAGTCCACTGAGAAGAGGGAGAGCTGGATGTTCTCAGGCAGCGAGAACTGCTGGCGGATCCCGCCCACGGAGAGCCCGGTAGAGGCCTGGGAATACTGTGGGGAGACAAGAAAGGCCGAGGTTTACATAGAAGCAGAGACTGTCATGGATTCTGTGAGCCGTGAACCTTAAGTTAAAGGGCAGTTCTTGCAGCTTTACGATCGAAGAGGAGCTGCATGGATAAACCCATATGCAAGTCACCCAGCAGCCCAGAGAGAACAATGGTTATAAAAGTCCTCATCAGCAGATACGCACAGCAAAGAGAGTTAGTCATCAACAAAGGCTCAGTGGATAGAGTGTTGGCATGTGGACTCAAAGGTCCCGGGTTCGATTCCAGTCAAGGGCACATGCCCAGGTTTCAGGCTCAATCCCCACTGGGGGGGTGAGCTGGAGGCAGCCGATCAATGATCCTCTCTCACTGATTCTCTCTTCCTCTCTGAAATCAAGAGAAATATATTAAAAAAAAAAAAAAAAAAGATTCGTGACTGGCTGGCAGAGGTAACAGGAACAGCAAAGTATAAAACCTGAGGTGTGATGGAACCTCAAGGGGGTTGAAGTAACTGTATTAATTATAACTTGAAGGCAGGCTTTCTTGGCCAGACCTGTGAGATCTCAAAAGATGCAACACTAAAATGTGCTTTCAAAAGCAAAAACCTATTGCCAAGACCCCTAGTTTGAAGGAGGATGAACCTGGGACTAATTCTTCACAAGGTCCCAAGCACAGTCCCTGTGCTCCAGACCTCCAAAGATTGAGGTCTTTTCTCCCCTTCCCTTGTCCCGAGTCCTTAGTAAAATCCGAGTCCAAGCCCCATTCATGACTCTGCCCGACCCCAGACCTCACCGTGTGGTCCCGATCCACCACCAGCACCTTAATGGCACCCCGTGGCTTCTCCAACCTCTTCAGCCAATAGGCCACGGACAGGCCAAGCACCCCACCCCCCACAATCACGACGTCCGAGTGTTCAGGGGGCAGGTGGCTGGTGTCATACAGTGGATGCCAGGCCCCTCCAGGAAGAGCTGACTGGATCTTCTTCTTAATTTCAGACACCTTTTCGGTCCAGTCTGCGGGATGCAGTTATGGTCAAAGAGAGCCATTCGTTTCCTTTTCCGGTGGGAGGGGGTTAGGAGACGGGCACAGGAAAAGGTGGGCTAAATAGACACGGAGTTGGCAGTCCCCACTGCCAGCCTCTCCCATAAAGTCAACGTGCAGCCAGCAGTATCCCACAGCTTTGCTATATGTTCTGCATGCCATCAGCCTCTCTTCCTTTTCATGCAAAATTAACAGTCTATACTCTCTCCCTAGGATAGTAACTTACACATATATAAGTCCTGTGCACACCTATCTCTCTGGTGAGCCAGAGGCTCATATCCTCAACTGCACTGTCATCACCACTTGGGAGTCCCAGGCTCCTGGACCGAGAGGCCCCCACACACTCCGAGCTGCAACCTCTGAAGCATGGTACCTCTGAGTGGCACCTTACCCTGGATATCCGTCACCACCAGCAGACTTCCACTCGTGTCCTATATGTTACGAAGTTCTGATGACTTTGCCTCCTAGCTCCCCAATCCGTCCCCCTTTTTTCTATCTCTGCCACCACTGCCCTAGACTGAACCCCCATAATCTCTCACCTAGACTAATGCAAACGCCTCCTAACTGCTCCCACTCATTCCCTCCTGTCACCCTCCCCCAGTTCTTTTCTACGTGGAAGCCTGACTGGCCTTGTGTGAACACTGATGTAATCACGCACCCTCTTGCGTAAAACCTTCCAATGGCTTTCCACTACTCTAAGGACAAAATCCAAAATCCATCAACACGACCAGGCAGACAACACACAATCCGGTTTCTGCTCACCTTATCCTCCTCCTCTCCCCACACTCCCCCACCCCCTCTGTTTCCTTGATGACACCTTACTTCCTCCCATCACAGGGAACTGACACAAGTGTTCTGTTTTAAAACTCTGGGTCCACTTTGCCGAGTTAACTCTGCTTCCCCTAGGTCTCAGCTCAGTTAACATGTTCTTAGGGAAGCCTTTTCTGACCTCCTAGACCAGCGGTCGCCAACCGGTGGTCCGTGGACCAGTGGTGGTCCGTGAGGTCTGAAAGGTTGGTGACCACTGCCCTGGACTAAGTTGAATCCTCCTGCCACATCATCGCACAGCTCTGTGAACCTCTTTTGCAGCATGCAACGCATTTGCAACTTGGAGTTTATCAGTGATAGCTTCATACTGTACGAAGTGTACCTTCTTCACCCCACAATCTCCACCCTAGCAGACTATCTGGCACATCCTAAATGCTCAATAAATATCCTATATAATAAAAGGCTAATATGCAAATCAACCGAGCAATGGAATGACTGGTCACTATGATGCACACTGACCACCAAGGAGCAGATGCTCAATGCAGGAGCTGCTCCCTGGTCAGTGGCTCCCACAGGGGGAGCACTGCTCAGCCAGAAGCCGGGCTGATGGCTGGCGAGTGCAGTGGCGTTAGCACTAAGCCATCCTTTGGACATCCACTGAGGGCTTCTGGACTATGAGGGGGCAGGCCAGACTGAGGAACTCTAACAAGTGCATGAATGTCACGCACCAGGCCTCTTGTCTTGAATACATGAATTCTTTGTCATGAACACCTAACTCACAAATCTCCAAATCTTCTCACTGTTTCCAACACAAAGTTCAGCAGCATTAGAATATTTATTTGATAGGGCTTCCCTTCCCTTCCCACATATTTCCTAACACTACTCAAACTGTTTGGACAGTTTTGGCTGGTTCCTTTCTCCCCCTAACCTTTGCTCAGCTTTCCAGAGCCTGGAACACACACGCCTTCCCAGAACCAGTAAACATCCTTCAGGGCTGATCTCGGTAGCCACCTGCTCCCTGTACGTCTACCATGACACTAGCTGGAGACTACCCAAATCTTGAACTGGTCGAGAAAGTCTTCCCCCTCCGGCTTCACTTCACCTCCAGGACACATATAGTGAATCCTCTCTTCCTCTTCCCTCTTTCACGGGCCACCACACTAAGCACCGCATGCAGCAAGCGAGCAGCACTTAATGCACCTTCGTGCACCCAGGGGATCAGCCTGGTCTCCCATTCTGGTGTTGGGCTAACGCAGAGGGGGATCCGTACACCTGTCCTGGCCTTACAGGCTCCAGGGGACAAGCTTAGCCCCTTCTCACAGCTGACCCGCCGTCTTCCCAGCCTGAGCCTGAAGGTCACACAGCCGGGGACGGGGGGACCCCAGAACCACGACATCCTCCTGTGTCCTCAACTTTACCCGGAGTCCAGCCTCCACTGCGTGTGCTTAGCCCCCGGCCCAGAGAGCCTCGACCTGCCAAGAGCCACACCGCCCCGCGAAACATGGTCCTTTGGATCGCGGCCCCAGAGCGCGACCCTTAAACCTGGCACCGCCCTCCAAACGTAATCGCTCCGCGCCGCCGGCCATTCACACGGCTCACCCATTGGCCAGCGGCCCTTTTAGGCCCCGCCCCTGCGCTCTATTGGCCTCCCGTCTCCACGTGACCTCCCAAGAGCCCCTCCCAGCCCCGACAAGGGCCAGCTAGCTTTACGTTATTGCTGCGCGCCCTCCAGCGGAGGCGGGTGGGAGGGGCGGGAGGGGGGGGGGGGGAATCCCAGAGCTCTGAGCGGAAGTGCGGCTGAGCTGGTTTCCGGGGCCGCTGGTGTGACGTGTCCCGCGCTTGGCGCAGCAGGAAGTCGGGGCGATCGTGGCCTCAGCTCCCGGCGCCGGCCGGGCTCCTTTCCTGCTGCCGCCATGCTCGACTTCTTCACCATCTTCTCGAAGGGCGGGCTCGTGCTCTGGTGCTTCCAGGGCGTGAGCGACTCCTGCACCGGGCCCGTCAACGCATTGATTCGTTCCGTGCTGCTACAGGTACCGCCCCCGCGGGGTCAGGACTCCGGGTTCGTTCCCCCCACTACCATCACCCCCGATCTGACCCATAGTCTCCCTCGACCGGCCTCGCGCCTCGCTCTCACCCTGACCGCCCCGAGACTGGCCAGGAGCTGGGACTCCACTTCTTCCTCCTGCCCGCCTGCAACTTTGGGGTGCCCCCTCCCCCTGCGCTTTGGGGGGACTCTAGCTGGATTAGGCGCCTCTCCAGACTTAACTATCGTTCCCTCGGCTCGCTCCTGCCAGCTTGGTTTTCTCTTGTGTCCAAGGATGGGTGAGAAAAGGGATGGAAAAACACCTTTAAACCTGTACACAGTCTACAGCTGCTAGTAGACCTGACTGTTTCTATGACGACTGCTTCCCATCGGGCTCCCTCCCAGGTGTCTTGTCACTCTCTCCCTCTTCCCTCCGACCCCACGGTATCTCCTCTTCTCCCCGGTGGGATGTTACAGACAGTGCCCCCAGCATCCTCTTGTCCTGGGACAGGTTTGGCTTTGGGGGGGATGCTTGGTTCTTTCCCAAAAGGTAATCGTTGAGGGGCCCCCAAGACTGGGTTTTCTGGGGGGAATAGTCTGAACTCGGAGACATACTCTCTTTCCAGGAAAGGGGAGGCAACAACTCGTTCACCCATGAAGCCCTCACACTCAAGTATAAACTGGACAACCAGTTTGAGCTGGTGTTTGTGGTAAGTGGGGGTGGTTTTGGAGGGACGAGAGCATTCTCAGCAGAGTCCTGATTATTCAGAGAACCGAAACCTGGCTAATTGCAGACGGTGTTATAGGAGAAGACAAGGGTGGGGGGAAAGGGAAGAAGCTCTGGGGCTCAGTTGGAGAGCTTGGCCACCCCTCCGGTCAGGGACACCTGCCAGGCGGCTTAGCCAATCTGGAGGCCCGGGTTGAGTTGGCTTCCCTCTGTTCTGGGATGGCACGTAAGCAGATCTGTTGGCTCTGTTTCTGTCCCCGAACAGGTTGGTTTTCAGAAGATCCTAACGCTGACCTACGTGGACAAGTTGATAGATGACGTGCACCGGCTCTTTCGGGACAAGTACCGCACCGAGATCCAGCAGCAAAGCGCCCTAAGTCTATTGAATGGCACATTTGATTTCCAAAATGACTTTCTGCGGCTCCTCCGGTGAGAGGCCTCCCCTCCCCCAAATCAATTTCCATGGCTTGCTGAGCTCCCTCCCTTCCTGAGGCCCGATCAGGGGCACTCAAGTGTTTATTGAAAGATGCTTCTGAATTTGCTGCCCAGTTCTAAGTGATCCTCTTGGGGTGGGGACCTTTTTCTGGACTCGAACCCTCCTCTCTCGCTTTAGTGAAGCGGAGGAGAGCAGTAAGATCCGGGCTCCAACCACCATGAAGAAGTTTGAAGATTCTGAAAAGGCCAAGAAACCTGTTAGATCCATGATTGAGACCCGGGGTGAAAAGCCCAAGGAAAAAGCAAAGAATAAAAAAAACAAGGGGGCCAAGAAGGAAGGTTGGTGTGAGCTCCTTGGACATATGGGCATGAGAAGTTACATGTGGTCCTTCGTACTGAAGTGGTCCCCTGTCCTCTTTGTCATTGCTTGTCTCTCTCACTCCAGTGCCCCCCACCCTTGCTGTCATTCCCAGTGCTTGTGAGCCCCAAAATGTTTGCTCCTAATTGGAATTCCTCCCCCTCCCCCCCCCCATTGTCTATTTTGTTGGAATCTGGTCCTTTTTCTCCAGTGAAATTTCTCCTAACAGGTTTTGATGTCCCTTTGACTGCCAGCAAAGCAGCCCCTGCAGAAAAGTCCGTGGGGGCTGACAATGGGGTAGAACTTTCCAAAGAGGAGCTGATCCGGAGGAAGCGAGAGGAGTTCATCCAGAAACACGGGAAGGCTGCAGACAAGTCCAGGTGAGCGTTCTAACCTTTGCCATAACCTAGCCGTGTTGGAGGGCAAGGGCCTCTTTGTCTCTGGATCTTGGGGAGATGTTTCTTCTTCTGCTTCTCCACCATAACCCTGTGCCGTAACCCTTTCAGCAAGTCCTCGAAGTCAGATGCTCCAAAGGAGAAGGGCAAAAAAGCACCTCGGGTGTGGGCGCTGGGCGGCTGTGCTAACAAGGAAGACCTGGATTATAGCGCTCCTACCACCAATGGGGCCCCAGAGGTTGCCCCGCCTGAGGACATCAACTTGGTGAGAATCAACAGGGGCCAAGAGAATGGGAGGGTCCGGCTGGTGTGGCTCAGTGGTTGTTGACCCATGTACCTAGAGGTCGCCGGTTTGATTCCGGGTCAGGGCATGTGTCCTGGTTATAGGTTCGATCCCCAGTAGGGGGTGTGCAGGAGGCAGTCGATGGATGATGTTCCTCATTCATTGATGTTTCCACCTTTCTATCCCTCTCTCTTAAATAAGTTTAAAAAAAAAAATTAGAAGTAGAGAGGAGGGCAGTACCTTGGGTTTCTTTGAGAGGATGAGTCTCTTCCCAAAACCAAGAGACTGAGCAGTGTAGACAGGGCGAATCCTGGGCTTTTCCCCTTCAGAACCTTTAGAATTCCTAATCCTCTCTCCTTTCCCCAAACCCTGCAGATTCGAGGGACTGGGCCTGGGGGGCAGCTTCAGGATCTGGACTGCAGCAGCTCCGATGATGAAGGGGCTGCTCAAAACCCTACCAAACCTAGGTAGGGAATTGCAGGGGGTGCAGGGTGTGTGTGGCTCCCGAGTGGGTGAGGCTTGACTCCTGCCCGCCCACCGGCTTTATGTGAACCCGTAATCTCCTGTGCCTGCAGTGCTGCCAAGGGGACTCTGGGTGGCATGTTTGGGATGCTGAAGGGCCTTGTGGGTTCCAAGAGCTTGAGTCGTGAAGACATGGAATCTGTGCTGGACAAGATGCGCGATCATCTCATTGGTAAGCTCTAGGAACAGGTGGGCTTGTGCACGTGGGGTAGGGATGGTGGAGGGTGGAACCATCTAGTTTCCTAGCTGTACCGTAAGAATTGGTGACTTGACTTGGCATTCACACACCACCCCTCCCCGCCAGCTAAGAATGTCGCAGCAGACATTGCAGTCCAACTCTGTGAATCCGTGGCCAACAAGTTGGAAGGGAAGGTGATGGGGACATTCAGCAGTAAGTATCGGCCTCAACCAATGTGCACAGGGCATCAGTGACTTTTGGCAAATCTCTTAAGCTCTAAACCGTTATTACATAACTGAGACTTGAAGAGTTACTAAGAGGATTACATGAGTTAATACTTGGGAAGTGTTTATTAGGACAGTGTCAGGTATGGTGTGGATTCATGGGGCAGGATCCTAGTATCATCCAGATCCTCGTTCCCTCAGCTCAGAAAGGTGTTGGGCATTCTTGGGGTACATTACCGCCTCCTCCCTTGCAGCGGTGACTTCTACAGTCAAGCAAGCTCTGCAAGAGTCCCTGGTACAGATCCTGCAGCCACAGCGCCGTGTGGACATGCTCCGGGACATCATGGACGCCCAGCGTCATCAGCGCCCTTACGTTGTCACCTTCTGCGGGGTTAATGGAGTGGGGAAGTCTACGAATCTCGCCAAGGTCAGTGCAGCACCCCATCTGTCTGACCTTTCTTCCCTGTCTCAGCAGCAACTTGGGTTCTAGGCGACAGTCTCCTTTGCCTCTTTTGCAGATTTCCTTCTGGCTGCTGGAGAACGGCTTCAGTGTCCTCATCGCCGCCTGTGACACGTTTCGTGCCGGGGCTGTGGAGCAGCTGCGCACACACACGCGCCGCCTGAGTGCCCTACACCCCCCGGAGAGCCACGGCGGCCGCACCATGGTGCAGTTGTTCGAGAAGGGCTACGGCAAAGATGCTGCCGGCATCGCAATGGAAGCCATTGCCTTTGGTACGGAGCAGAGTGTGTGGGAGCTGGTCCGGGCCCCTTTCCTTGGATTCGCCTAAAATATCCTGAGGATCAGGGTCACCCGACTACCAACTTAGGCTCAACTTTAGGACTTGTGACTTGCCATGATCCGCTTTGGGGAATGGATGTAGTTGCAACCAAAGCTGGTTGGCCCAACCCAAGAAACCTCTCATTGGTCACCTCTATGGCATTGCCATCCTTTTCCAGACTATGCGTGGAAGGCCAAGTATAGATTGTCTTCTCACACTACCTTGTAACCAGATCCAGAGCCCAAGAAAGGAAACAGACCTTTAACATAGCCAGGCTAGGACTTCCCGAGAGGACGCTGGAAATAAGTGTGACAATCCAGTTCTGAGCTGACCACTCTTCTCTCTGTAGCACGCAACCAAGGCTTTGATGTCGTGCTGGTGGACACAGCTGGCCGCATGCAAGACAATGCCCCTCTGATGACTGCCCTGGCCAAGCTCATTACTGTCAACACCCCCGACTTGGTGCTGTTTGTGGGCGAGGCCCTAGTAGGCAATGAGGCCGTGGATCAGCTGGTGAGGGCACGGTTCTCTTTCCAGCCTCAGCTTTGGGTGGAAAGGTGATTTGTTACACTCACATGCCATTTCTCCTTCCCAGGTCAAGTTCAACAGAGCCTTGGCTGACCATTCTATGGCTCAAACCCCTC